TCTGAAGTAACACCTAGCCCTTTTCTGGAAATACAGAAGGAAGCCGATTGCTGAGCCAATGGCTATAGAGACCTCAGTGCACTAGTAGTACTGACATAGCATTTGTAAGATATGTCATTTTAGTTCACTGAGGGCTTTCACATGCATTGTCACTCCATCAGGCTCTGATGTCCCAGTTTAATTTAACATTCTGTTTTTTGGTGATCATATATTTAAGAACAATAAGTTCTGTAAGGATAGGAACCATGCCTGTCTTCCTACTTGCCTAGCACCTAGCCCAGTGCTTGGCCCAAAGCGGGCAGTCACTTCCTGAACTTTGGTTTGTTTTGATCAGATGGCGATAGAACTTTCCCTGTTCATAGTTCCAAACGCTTATTTGCACAAAAGCCTCATACATTCCCCTTATGTAACTCTTCCCCATGTTCTAGCTTATCGCACGGATGACTCCCAGCCCTGGGTTTTGCCTGTAGTGAGGAAGGTGGAGCAGAAGATTGCCAACGACACTAACCTAAACCACGAGTATCTGCCAATCTTGGGCCTTCCGGAGTTCCGAACCCATGCTTCCTGCCTTGCCCTCGGGGAGGACAGCCCAGCCATCCGGGAGAAGCGGGTGAGTTTTTGGATGAGGATGTACGTTTGCTCTTCAGGAACTGTGAAAGTGAAAAAGAGGTTGGAAATCCAAATTGTTTGAAAATGTTAGGTGTTATGTCTATTGACCTGTCAATGAGTCAGGGTTTAAGTAGTGCGACCTCAGGAACCTGATAGTGCAGATAACGTGCTTTTGTGTAAAGCACAGCTTCTTCAGTTGTTCACTTTTTTGCCCAACTGATGATCAGATTTCAGCTACTGGATTTGAAGCAGTGAGAGGAAATGCCAAGCTAAGGGGATTTAATGGATTGATCAAAAGACTAGGGTCTGGACCAGCTCTGCCACTATTTTTGACCACAGGCAAATCACTTAGCCCTCTGGCCCCTATGACTCATTTACGTGTTATCGAAACACTAGTTTGTGGTTCATAAGGCTTTTATCAGATTTTTGAAAGTAGTCTGTGGCCCCCAAAGGTTCAAGAGCCACTAGTCTGGATGCTCTCTGAAGTTCCTGTCAGTTTTAGTAGTACTGTATCCTTTTATTCTTCTAGTCTTGGTCACAGCTTCTCTCATTGCAGTGCTTCCTGGTACATAGACTGTGGATAACTAGACACCCTTGGAAGAGGAGCACATTTGGAAGCAGCCAATGAGAGAGGCTCTATGTGGCAGGAAGTGGTTTGGTGGAGATTCTCAGTGTTGTAGGGATTCAGAGACGAGGGAGGCTGATGATGGCTGAAGATGAGACTTCTGCTGAACCTTGGGAAACGAGACTAGCACACTGGTTTTCAACACTGGCAATGTTAGTATAATCTCAGGAGTTTTTAAAAATATACTGATGGCTGGACCCAACACCAGACCAGTTAAATCAGAATCTTGGATGATACCACCCTATCCTGCCCTTTTACTACCTTCCCTTCATGGGCATTTTTAAAAGTTTTATTATTATTATTATTATTATTATTATTATTTTTTAAATATATATTTTATTGATTTTGTACAGAGAGAAAGGGAGAGAGATAGTTAGAAACATCGATGAGAGAGAGTCATCGATCAGTTGCCTCTTGCACACCCCCCACTGGGGATATGCCCGCAACCAAGGTATATGCCCTTGACTGGAATCGAACCCAGGACCCTTTAGTCCCCAAGCCGATGCTCTATCCATTGAGCCAAACCCGTTTCGGCAAGTTTTTATTTTTATTTTTAATTCAATATATTTTTATTGATTTTAGGGAGGACAGGGAGAGAGAGATAGAAATATCAATGATAAGAGAGAATCATCGATCAGCTGCCTCCTGCACACCCCACACTGGGGATCGATCCTGCAACCCAAGCATATTCCCTGACCAGGAATTGAACCGTGACCTCCTGGTTCATAGGTTGATGCTCAACTACTGGGCCATGCCAGCCAGGCAACGGGCATATTTTTAATAGCCCTCCAGGTGATTCCAAAGTACAAGGTACAGAGAGAAGGTATTTGACTGAAGTAGTGGGAGCTCGGGGCTAGAGGCAAGAGGTAAGCAGGTCTAATTGTAAAGAGACTTATCTGATGAGGCAGGCTGGTTTTAGCAGTGGGGCAGGGGAAGCCACCTGAAGGTTTGAGCAGAGGAGTTACCCAATACAAGTCTGGAAGAAGTTAAACTTGCTGGATGAGTAGGAAGGGGAAGAGCTTAGGTTTTTGCAACAGTTCAGTCAGATATAATGCAATTTAAACCAGCGGCCCTTATCACTCCCCTGGGCCATTGTCTAGTGCGCCCTCACGAGTGGAAGGGACCACATCTTGGCGACACCTGATTTATCCCCACATGCTGTTACCCATATGCTTTGATAAACAGGACTGCAAGGTCTAGTGAAGGTTACACAGGGCACATTATTATGCGTATCAGAAGGCAGTGAGGCTCCAGGTCGGTGATTAGGCAAGTAATTCACTTAATTCTGATGACTTACTTCAAGGAACTGAAAGGGAATACAGGTAGAAATGGAAGAATGGAGAGATTATTGGTGGCGTTGGGACATTGCTCTGACAATCTGGTGTTTCCATAGAGGGAGAGGAGTGTCTTGACGAAGTTTGAAAGTGGGGAATTTTGGCAACTGAGGATTCTTTTCTGAGATGCTGCTGATAGTTGGAATTCTGTTAACAAATAAAAACAGAGATTCTGTGTTGGGGAGTGTCTTCCCCTAAGACATTCTTACACATTTATTAACTGTGTTGGGCAGACACTCGTTCCTTTGCCCAACACTCCCCATTAATGATCACTTAATGCTGTAAGGCTTGGGGCTTTACTTGTAGAATATAGCCCTCTCTCTTAGTCCAGTGCATTTCACATTTTCTTTTTTAAAAATATATATTTTTTTGATTTCAGAGAGGAAAAGAGAGGAAGAGAGATAGAAATATCAGTGATGAGAGAGAATCATTGATCAGCTACCTCCTGCACACCCCCTACTGGGGATCGAGCCCACGACCTGGGCATGTGCCCTGACCAGGAATTGGTGCTCAACCACTGAGCAACACCCTCTGGGCTTTTTAAATCATTTTATTGTAGAAAATTTCAAATATCTACAACAATAGATAAAACAGTGTAATGAGCAAACCTTCATGCATCTATCACCTAGCTTCAACAATGATCTGTATTTGGTCAATCTTGTATACCTCCCATCCCACTGTCCTGCCAAAGCTGAATTATTTTACAGCAGATCCTAAAATTTATTTTAAAATTTTACAAATAATACATGAATACATTTTTATTTTTAAAAGACAACTTACAGGTTAGGCTACAGTCCCTTTGACCACTATTCTCCATAGCTGAGGCCCCTCCGCAGAGGTTGCCACTATTTTTAGGTTGATATGTGCCCTTCCTTTTAATTATATAGGCTTTTCCATGTGATCTTTTCCTTTCTTTCTCATTAATTCTATAGACATAGTAAGCAACATGGAATTTAAAACATTTCCTTGCTGAAAGAGTTATGCCAAAACCTCGTTTAAATCATGAAAGGGCAAAATCAAAGCTATAGAGGCAGAACAGCAATGGTATAATGACTAGAGTGAGAAGACTTGGTATCCAGCTCTGCTACTCACCACCTGTGTCTTCTTTGGCAAGCCGCTTCTCTCAATCAGTTTTCTCATGTAAATTTCGGATCTAGAACTTATTTCGTGGAATTGTATGAGATTCAAATAAGAATGTATGTGAAGGTATTTGGTAAATGGTAAAACTTAGGATTTTTCTCATTGCCCCTGTGAGGTCATTTTAAGATGAGATGAAGCTCAAGGAGAGAATAGTATTCCCATGTCACCTTTGTTTCATTAGAATATATGTTTAAGGATTCCGAGGCCTGCATTATGGAAGGAGAAAGCAGTATTACAGATTGATGTCAGTGGCAAGCTGGAAACGTTATGTTCCAGGCTTCTGCTGGTGGGTAGTTTTGAACTTGGGTTGTGTATTAAAGGGATTGGCCACATTCTGATGTGGCCTAGGTATGACCTCTACCCCTGTATTCAGAAGGGAAGCTCCCCTTAGAGTCAGACTTCAGACTTCCCTAATGCTCATAGTTAGCCCTAACGCCCATAGTTCCCTGATGTTCATAGTTAGTCCTAATGCCCACTTTGAGCAATGTGCTTCACTTCTCAGCCTCCGTTCCTCATTTGTAAACATGGGCAAATAATAGTATCTTCTTTATGTAGTTGTGAGGTGTGATGAGACAGTACATGTAAGGGCTTAGCATAGAGCAGGCACAAAGTAAATGCTCATCATTACTATATTTCCCCCGATATTTTCTGACTTCCCATTATCAACCCATGACCCTGCTTCTTCCCTTCAGGTAGGAGGTGTGCAGTCTTTGGGGGGAACAGGTGCACTTCGAATCGGAGCCGAGTTCCTCGTGCGATGGTACAATGGAACGAACAACAAGGACACGCCTGTCTATGTGTCCTCACCAACCTGGGGTGAGTTCTTTAAGCGTATTAAGAGGAGAAACAAAGAAACTAGGAGCAAATATCCTCATGATTCTCACTGTTTACCCAGAAAATGTAATCTGGCCCTGAATCAACTGACATTTAGGAATGGCTCCAGCAGTGGATTTGGGCAGGACACATGTAATACGATGCTTAAATTCACATTAGGAATACTTTTTCCCAAGACTCTTAGTAGACATGTCTTCAGGTGAGTTAAAACTTCCCAGAGGAGGCACAGAATGTAGATATAGGGACCGTTAGGATATAAGTTTAGCATGAAGAAGCCTGTTTGAATTTGTTTTTGGTTACAACCATTCTTCTGAGTCTTAACTCCTCTCCTAGATGTCACTCAGTGGACATTCCAGGGCCATGGAAGTTGACTTGTGTCCTTTACAATTACACCTCCTTGTGATTATAAAACCATTTACATTTTTATCCCTTTGCCTGCAGAGAATCATAATGCTGTGTTTACTGCCGCTGGATTTAAAGACATTCGGACCTATCACTATTGGGATGCAGCCAAGAGAGGACTTGACCTCCAGGGTTTCCTGAAGGATCTGGAGGTGGGTGATGAGATGAAAAAGTAAGCAGAACCATAGGGAGCAGGAAAAAGTTTTTCGATCAGTTGATAAGCAGGGGAGTCCTGCTCGTGTCCAAGCTGACGTAGCTTCCCTTTCCTCAGAGTGCTCCTGAGTTCTCCATCTTTGTCCTCCATGCCTGTGCACACAACCCAACTGGAACCGACCCAACTCCAGAGCAGTGGAAGGAGATTGCCTCCGTCATGAAGGTAACTAACTGCCTTTCCAGAGCATCTCTTAACAAGTAGTCTGTATTAACCTTTAATGTGTTCAGAAGCCATACCTATTTACTGGAGAATGTGTAAGTGGACAAAAAAACTGAAGAAGATAAATATTAACTGTAAATCCTGTTATTCAAAGAAAACCACTGTCAATATTTTGGTGCAGAATGTAAGTTTTTTATTATTTTTATTTTAGTATAGTTATACATATAAATATTTGTTTTACAAAGGTGGGATCATTTTGTCTAGTCCATTTTATAACATACTTTGACTTTGATTTGAACTCCCTTACATGTTTTTAAATGTTTTGTAGCATTGTTTTCCATGCATGGACATGTCACATAGAGATGGATTTGTCACAAATCAGTTGATGGACATTAAAATCTCAAGTTTCTTGCTCTTATGAACAATTATGTAATAAAACTCCATTGTGTTACTTCTTTGGGGTAACTTTCTAGATTGGAATTTTTAGTTTAAAGTGTACATATGTTATTTATTAGTGTTTTAAAAATACTGAGAAACTATTATATAACTGGCAGCATGGGATATACTAGTGAACAAAGCTGCCCTCAAAGAGCATACATAGCCTGTTTGGGGAAACAGTCATGTGAGACAGTTTTGTTGGTGGAGTTATAGAGAGGCAGATAGACCGGTCTTTGGGAAGTGTGTGTGTGTGTGTGTGTTGGGAGGAGTGATATTGCAGAAGAAGCCTTCCTGGAAGAAGTGGCTTTCATGTTGAAACTTGAGGGATGGGGACAGGTGGGGGCTGGCTGGAGGGGCAGGAATGTTCCCTGTAAGGGAAAGAGGTCATGGCCTGTTTAAGGAAGTGAAAGTAATTCCTGGCCTAGATTCCAAGGGCTTTGGGGGAATGTGAGTCATGAGGCTAGAGAGGTAAATGGGGACCAGAGCCTGTGCTGAGGCACTGGCTTCATTCTGAGGGCAATGAGGAGCCATGAAAACCCTTGATGTCATGAAGTGACATGATCAGATGTGCATAGTCTTCAAGTCACCTTGGCTACATGGCAGGGAATGGATCACAGGGAGTCCAGATTAGACAGGCTGAGAGAGCAGTTAGGGGGCTATTACTATAATTCAGGTAGGCGCTGAGGGGGACCTGAGTGAAGCAGGTGGCAGTGACAGATGTGAAAGGGTTCTAGAGCTCCCAGGAGACAGGAGTGATAGGACTTGGAGGTGATTGGATGTGAGGGATGAGCTGCAGAGGCGGCACAGGAGGATGCACCCTGGCTTCCGGCTTGATGGTTGGGATCAGGGAGGTGGTGCCCATGTAGAGAGTGAGCCCAGAGGAGGAGCGAGTTCAGTGTGGGGAGCCCTCTGAGGAGACTGGAGGATAAGAATAGAGAGCATGCAGCGTCCTTGTCCGGTGGAATAGCCTGAGGTTGTGAAGAGGCCCTGGGGATAAGGAGCTAACATTTGACTGAGCTTATCACACCAGGAATTCGTGGGAAAGAATCTGCCAATGCAGGACAGGCATTGCCTCCATACGGAAGTCCTGTTGGCAAGGCGGCATCATGATGTTCTGGGTTGATATACTTAAAAAAACAAGGTTTACCAAAATGGTTAGATTTAGAGGTTGGTGTTTAGCTGCACAGAGAAATAGAGATGTAAATGGTGATTGGATGCAGAAAAGAGAGAGAAAGAGGAGAAATGGGCAGTTTCAGAAATTCCTTCCAGAAACAGTTGGGGAAGGAAAGGCAGTGTCTGAGGTTGGTTCCAGAAGGATGTCCTGCCTGACTCACTTTCCTTCCTCGCAGCGCCGGTTTCTGTTTCCCTTCTTTGACTCAGCCTATCAGGGCTTCGCATCTGGAAACCTAGAGAAAGATGCCTGGGCCATTCGCTATTTTGTGTCTGAAGGATTCGAGCTCTTCTGTGCCCAGTCCTTCTCCAAAAACTTTGGGCTCTACAGTGAGTGCTCTCCTGAGTTGCAGCCCCACCCTCGACCCCCGCCCGCATCGGGGCCTCCCAGGCTGATTCTCATCTCTTGTCTCCAGATGAGCGTGTGGGGAATCTGACCGTGGTTGCCAAAGAACCTGACAGCATGCTGCGGGTCCTTTCCCAGATGGAGAAGATTGTGCGGATCACTTGGTCCAATCCCCCTGCTCAGGGCGCACGGATCGTGGCCACCACCCTCTCTAACCCCGAGCTCTTTAAGGAATGGTAAGGCACTCACAGCCTGAGGGGCGAGGGGTGGGGATGCAGAACAGGAAGTGCCCCGTTACATTTAACTGCCTCTTCCTCTCATTTTAGCGGAGGCAAGACAAAATTACTTCAGCCTCCTTGAGTCTCAGATATTTCTATAAAGTAGGGCTGCCACCTACTCTCACGTGCATAACACAACACACGTGGCTCACAAGCACTGGGGACAGAGGAAGGGACACTCGGATAAATCTGCGTTTCCCCCACTCTCCCACCACCCAGGCCTCATCCCCTTACAGTGGGGGAAACAGGAAGGAATTCCTGATAGGATAGAATATCCAACTTCAAGTTAGTGTGACAATTTGGGGGCTCTTCATTCTTAACTTTACATATATTTTATCTTATTTGAAACAGCAACTTTTACATAGTAGCTAAATCTGCAACCTCTACTTAATGAGTCCTGATAAAAATATATCATTCTGTCTAGATCAGCTCCTAGGTGAAGTCTGAGTTAAAACACAGGTGGTATTACAGCTAGTACACCCAAGACTAGAACTGAGTTCCATCGGTGAAGATAGTCCTTTCCTTCTGCCTGGTACCCATCTCTCTCTGGCCTGTATATCCCCCATCCAGGCACCCATGTACCATAATGAGCAGGTGGTAGTCCCATTTTCAGCTTGTAGATTGAATTGTGGGTTTTAAACCTCTGTGTTTTCATGTATTCTCTCTCCGATCTGCATTGTATTTATGTCTCTATCCACTCAGGAAAGGTAACGTGAAGACAATGGCTGACCGGATTCTGACCATGAGGTCTGAACTCAGGGCACGGTTAGAGGCCCTTAAGACCCCTGGAACCTGGAACCACATCACTGAGCAGATTGGAATGTTCAGCTTCACGGGGTTGAACAGTAAGTGCCCTCTCCCAGTGCTCACTATTGGAACCAGCACTCCTCTCAGTCAGTGTCCTTGGACTCGGCTCCGTTAGCTGTTGCCTAATTGGTCAATGAGAACTTTGGACCAGAACAAGTTAGGTTTTCTCAGTGTGCCCCATCCATCTCCTGAACTCCCTGGGTCTCAGAAGATCATAACTGTGGTCTGTCCTGCGTCCTATAACCAAGATATTTTCATTTTTGTGGGCTGGGAAGTGGCTCAGAGCCAGCTGCGACGTAACGGGGTTTATGGCTTGGAGCCTTGATTTATGAAAGGCCTGTCATAAATGCTTAGGTACTCTTTGACTCTTCCTTAATACTAAATATGAATATTACATATTATTATTCAGGGACCTAATTTTTTTAATTGACTTTTTTTTTTTTAGAGAGAGAGGGAGTGAGAGAGGTAGAAACATTGAAGTGAGAAACATGTCAGTTGCCTCCCGTATGCACCTTGACGGGATTGAACTTGTAATCTTTTTGGTGCGGGCTGGCCCCCCCCAACCAACAAAGCCACCTGGCTGGGCAGGGACCTACTTACTTAACGGGTCTTTCCTAGTCTCTTAAGCATTGCCCTCAAAAAAGAGGTTACAAAGTTACCTTTCCATGTCATAAATAAAAACTTAGGTTGGTAGTTGGAATTAAAAGATGGTTGAATGTCCCAGTGGGTAGCCTTGAATGATCCTGGTCAGCCGTCAGTAGGGCCTATTTGCAGTTGGCTGTCCCTTCCAATGACAGAGGGATCCTTCATTTAATAAGTTATTCCCGAGCACCCACAGTCCAGGCCACATGGTGCAGATATAGCCACTCACCTGCATGTGGAGCTTTTGTGCCCAGCTTGGTAGTAAGTGGGGCATCTGAGTAGTACCTGGAAGGTATTTTAAACCAGGGCCACCAGAATGCCATCTCTCTCTCTCTCACCCTCTTCCTAAAACCAATTTTTAAAAAGATGAACTGAGTTAATATAAAGTGCTTAGAACACTGGCTGGCACAGTGTTTGCTCCTTTGATTATTATTATTTTGTTACCATCTTAGTTTGGGCTGCTATAACAAAATACAGACTGGGTGGCTTAAACAACAGAAATGTATTTCTCACAGTTCTGGGGTCTGGGAAGTCGTTAGGTCAGGGTGCCAGCATGGTCTGGGCCTGCTGGTGGCTGTGTTCTTGCTTCATCCTCACATAATGGTGAGAGAGCACGCTCTCTTTAGTCTCTTATGAGGGCACTACACCCATCATGGGGCTCCACCCCCACGGCCTCATCTAACCTAATTACCTGCCAAAGGCTCCACCTCCCAATACCGTCACACTGGGGTTAGGTTTCCACAGGAATTTTGGAAGGAGTGACACAAGCATTCAGTCCATAACAATTATCCCAATCCCTCAAATGATGGTGTCTTAAGGGTACAAACTAGACAAAAATCCGTTGAAATTCTCTCATGGCTTTGCAACAAAGCAAAGAAGCTCTGGAGATTGTGGCATAAAGGAAGTACAGGCGGTCCCTTCCTGCTCCATCCGTGAGCATTTCTGCAAACCCATGGGAAAGTGCTCCTGCTTATGTTTGAATGAGAGATCAGATCAGATCTGCAGTGTCTGCAGTTTTCCAGCCCGCTGGTTCATGCACACAACATTTACCCAGCTCCTCTCATGCATGGGGCCTTATAAAATGTACTGTGAAAATGAAATGTCCAAGGGAGGTTGCTTCTAGGTGCTCAGGGATAAGCAAATTCAGGTTAAGGAAGAAACGAAGGAAGCACTTCCTAACCAGTTTTTCGTATCAATGGAATCTTCTGAAGTCTGAGGGTTGTTTCAATTGATAGCATGTCCTGTGAATGGGATGTGCAAGGTTTGGTTGGGAGGTAGTCCCAGATTAAAATTCCCATGAGGAGGAGCGCTGGGGATTAGAAAGTCAGCTAACATGACTAGTTTTCAGAATCCATTGAGGATATTTCCCTGTGTACAAATGGACAAAATAGCTCCTGTGGTTTTCCTTCTCTGTATTATAATACGAGGCAAAGAAGGAAAACTGTAATTGTCATGGAGTCGCTGAGGCTTAAAGGATTCCTACTACTCTGATTATCTCTCTTTCTGTTTTCAACAGCCAAGCAGGTTGAATATCTGGTCAGTGAAAAGCACATCTATCTGCTGCCAAGTGGTCGGATCAACATGTGTGGCTTAACCACCAAAAACCTAGATTATGTGGCCACCTCCATCCATGAAGCAGTCACCAAAATCAAGTAAAGAGGTACCCCGAAACCAGCACCACCAAAGCGGCCCTCTCTCGTGTGTGTTCCCTGCTGCAGTCTAGTTGTCTACAATCATGGATGAGACTATTGCAAGACTGAAAGCTGCTCTCGTGAGGCTGGGCCCACATGAAGAGAACATCCCTTGAAAAGAGATGCGGGCCTGGATGAGAGGCCTTCCGAAGGCCAGAGCAGATTAAGCTTTCTGTGTAAGAAGAATACAACGGTACTTCGACCCTGAGTTGTAGATACTTGCCCCCTTGCTAGAAGCAAGAGTCTTGCCTGTGTCCCTTGTGCGCTTCTATGTGTTGCCTGACTCTGTACAAAGTCTAGTCCCAAAGATCAAGTTGTCTGAAGAGCCATGTGTAATTGTGGGTGTTGGCTGTCAGTAAAATTCATCATCTCTACCCAGAGTGTCTGTGTCCCTGCTCTTTCTGCATGGTTGTGTCCCTAGCCCTAAGCTTTAGTTCTTCTGTGCAGCCAAGTACAAAATACATTTACATCACATGCACACAGTTAACTGAAACAAAAGTTTCACAAAACGGTATATAGTCTTGCTACGTGCAGTGCATTCTGATATTTTCTAGTCTGTTTTATTGTTCCATTTCACTGAAGAAATAAAAGTGATTGAGACTCTTATGTAATTGACTTTGTGACCCACTAATAGGTTGTAACCCATGGCTTAAAATGAAAGCTATAGAGTCCTAGCAGGTTTGGCTCAGTGGATAGAGGGTTGGCTTGCAGACTGAAGGGTTCCAGGTTGGATTCTGGACACAGGCATATACCTAGTTGTGGGTTCGATCCCCAGTAGAAGGCATGCAAGAGGTAGTCAATTAATGATTTTCATCATTGATGTTTCTCTCCCTTCCTCTCTGAAATCAATAATATATACATATGTATGTGTGTGTATGTGTATATATACACATAAAATGCTATAGAGAGGCTAGAGTTAATGACTTCTAAGACTCCAATCAGCCTCTCTCTCAGAGCTATAGTCTCTGCATATTGTCCCTGACCTGTTCATTTTTAACTGAGGGGAGGGTGGATTCTTTCACTACTTGGTGAAGCATCCCATTCTATTGATGGGAGTACCTTAATTAAAGAGATCATTTACCTTGATCCAGAATTTGGTCTCTGTCTGTCATCCTCCCCTGGCACCCTTCCTCGCTTCCTTTAAACCACAGACACCAAGCCCACTGGCACTTCTAGTTGATGGCCTGACAAATATTGGAAGTAGCAGCCGCTATTCCTAGTTTTTGCTTTTCTATGTGCAACTTCCTCCCTTCCCCCCACTCCAACTCTTCGTGTTCCTCCCAAGACCTTGAGCTTGGAAGGCACCCACCAGTGCCTCACGCATCACATGGGTTCCACAAACAATTATTGTCTTAGTGCTTCTTGTTCTCATTCACACTCTGGCTTCTCATTTGAGTTTTACTTTCCATTTCTGGCATTTGTTTCTGCAAAATCTTACCTGTCTTCCCAAAGTACAGCACCGGAGCCTTCCTGTAACCTTGAGGGCAGCCTCACACCTGGTCTCAGAGCCGAACCTCTTCAGGCAGGTGGGCCCTGTGAGATTATCACAGGTGAGCTCCACCCAACCTGCATCTCAAATAAACCACTTCAGAACTCCCAGATTCAGGGCAAGGAAACCAGTCACATTCCAGGAAAGCATTTTCATTTTATTGAAAAATTATTTACAATTCATTAAGTCTTCATAAATGCTTTATTTTAAAATTAAAGTCCTTTTTTTTTTTTTTTTTTTTTTTTTAACTTTCTGTAACCTGAAGAAAATTGGGGGTGGGGAACAGGGATGAGAGAGGTGACAGGCTCCTTAGGGATTCTGCAAAGGGATGGATGTAACACAACAGCAGTGGCCTGAGCCCTGTGGCCTAAGTGGTAATGCAAGAAGACTGCATAACAGTTCTTACTTGAAACTCAGTCCCCTGGTTTGGGTCTGAGGCACCCAGCACAGGGCGGGGTGAGGGGGTGACACTGCTATTCCTACTAGGCAAGAGTAGGTGTTGGGTAGTCTTGGAACTATCGACGTCATGCACTACTGAGCCTCAGGCAGAGCCAGGCAAGGGATGTGAAGTCAGTAATACATTGCTAAATATGCTGCCGGAAAAGGCATCGCCAGCTGCAAAGTCTTTACTTCCACAAGCCGTGGCCCTCCTGTCTGCAACACCTGCTCCAGTTCGGAGGGGGAGAGGGGATGAAGTTATGTGGGGTGTAGGCTGTACAACAGCCTAGGGTGTGCCAAGAATTTCTGAGGACTTCCACTTCTCGGAGGGTGCCAGCTCTCCCCATCAGTTTCAAGGACACTTGCGAAGACCATTTACAATTAAAAATAGACCTCAAACTGCCAGAACTCATTTCACTCTGCATTGCAGAAACTTTGGGCTGAAAGCTCCACTTTCAGTTAAAATAGTTTTTAACTTTTTGTGGGCCCGGGACCTTTGAGGATCCATGAAAGCTTTAGCCCTCTGGAAAACAGGCATAAGAACACAGACACTGAATTCCTAGTGGTAGGGGTTTCATAGACCCTATGAAGTCCAACTATGGACCCCCTGGGGTGAGGGACCCCAAGTTAAGAACCCCTGAGTTAAAGGTTCCTATGGGTAAGCTGCAAATAACCCAGAGGAATCATCATGATTATTGATTGAATGGGGCCATAGGAGTAATGGTTGTGGAGGAAGGGAAGGGAAGCCTGATGGCCCACTCCAGGGAAAAGTTAGGGAATGGTTTGGAGATTCAGCAGGCAGCACTGGATCAGGGCAATAGATCAGAAAGCGTCCCAAAGACCTTCATTTCCACACTTTCCCTAAAGCTGGCTCTGTGTCCTGATCAGAACGGTTTTTTTTTTAAATTCAAGTAGGTACGTGCAGTCATCCTGCCATCTGGTGGTTATGCTTGGAATTGCATCTGCCCCCACATCCAAGTGAAATGGCAGAAATCTAGTACGTTCTTGGAATAAAGTACACATGGCTAACTTGCTGGGGTGCAGTAAGGGGTAGGATGAAAAAGGGGAATGACTTTTCAATGTTCCTGTGCAATGCACACTTGAAGTCCAATGAGACCTTGCATCCTTCTTAGCTGACGTGGGCACTCTTTGGTTTGTCATGGCTAAACTTGCTTCAACAGCTTAGAATTTTTCCATATATATACACACACACATATATATGGGTAAATATATATTTGCTTTGATTTGAACTTAAAACCTGAAGCTCCATCTCTGGCCCCCGATCGGATCTGTTCCCAGTTCCTCCTCTTCCGGAGCAGATTGATGGATCAGTAACTGCCGATTGGGAGCCAAAGCAGATGTGTCCCTGGGAAAATCAGTGACTTGAGGTTCCGTCTCGCATTCTTTCCACTCCAGCTGAGACCCCAGTTCCCAGGCTGCTGGAGCCCTTATCTAGCAGGAAACCCGTCACCAACAGTTCTCTGTATGGTAACGTCATTCCCACATGGCTGAATCCCGCTGCCCGGAAGTTCTGGAGGAACTCTTGGTGCATCTTCTGAACAACCATCATGCTTGCTGCTCCAGCCTCCACTGTGCCTGTCAGCGGCACCTTCTGAGCTAAGCTACGCATGAAGTATGGCATTGGGATCTCAAAGAACAAAAAGGGCATTAGGGGCCCCAGAGTGGCATTGTCAACTTTGAGTCATGTCTTCTCCAGTCCCAGACTGTGCTGTGGACAAGGCCATTTCTAGCATGTTCCACTCGAGGCACCTCCTTCCATCTTGGCCACCGCAAGGCTCTGAGTCCAACTGGAGGCGACGAGGGGAAGTCTGCCAAACTGACAGGGGTGGAGAGGTGGTGAGGGAAGCGGAATGCTCTGTCACCTGCGGGAGGCCTTGGGGAGAAGCAGATGATGGGAGGGTGGGTTCTCCCCCAAAGCTCTGGAATGTCACACACCCAGCAACAGTTGTCTGCCCATCATGTGATGAGAGGTGTTAAATTGGAGTTCTCCTCAGAAGCTCTCTCTCCATCGGGTGACCTCTTTCTTTTTCGACCACCTGAAAAACAGTTTGTAAGGATCAACCTGTAGGACTCAGAGGACACTCATACTCTCTTGGTGGTCCAAGCTCTCTTCAAAATAGAAGCAGAAATGGAGACAGTTTGGCAGGAAGCAATCTGCATTGTACCCTGCTGCTGATATCAACATGTTTACATTTTTCAAAAAAATATATTTTTATTGATTTCAGAGATGAAGGGAGAGAGAAATAGAAATATCAGTGATGAGACAATCATTGATTGGCTGCCTCCTGCACACCCCACACTGGGGATCGAGCCCACAACTCAGGCATATGCCCTGACCAGGAATCCAACTGCGACCTCCTGGTACATAGGTTGATGCTCAACCATTGAGCCACGCCAGCCAAGCAGCATATTTATATCTTGAAGGACTAGGATGCACCTTTCACCTGAGATGACAGCATTACAAAGTCACAAACCCAGGCTAGTGCCAATGGAATGGAGATTTCCTGGAGAGAACTGACAAAGGCTCATGTGATGCCTCGGGATCATGCCTTTCCCATCCTCTGATCCCCATTTATCAAGGATGCAGCAAGAGCCCAGGGCCTCTGATGGATTCCCACGACTACTCCTCACTAGGGTTCCCAAAAGGAGTCAATGGCTCCTCCTCCATGAGGAAGAGCCTGTCATGCTTTTTCTTCTACCCAGCTGTAGGTGGCTTCCGTGTGGGCGAGGAGATACTCACTCAGGGTTCTCAGCAGCCTCTTGCCCATGGTTTCCTCCAAGTCACTACTGCAGGGACTGGTCTCTGTCTCCAGGTTGATATTACAACATTCGCTCTCCGATGCTGAAAGGAAAGAAGGAAGAACACAAGTGTTTCCACGTGCACACCCAGGGATGTGGGTGGGAGGATCCTGGCTGACATTTCTTAGCAGGTGAGAGTGCAGCACCAGTGCTAAGGCAGCAGTGGCTCCAACAAGGGAGGAGGGCCCAGGAAGCCTTTAGCAAGGGGCACTTTAGTGCCACAGAAGGAACAAAGAGACGGAGAACAAGAGCGGGAATTAACCACTCAAACCCTGTTTGGCAGGAGAGAAAAGGGAACAAGATGTTCTCTCCTCAGCATTTTTTGCCAGACGAAAAGCACATTTGAGGACAGATGGTGATGTCTCCTTCCTCTATTTGTACAGATCCTGGAAAACCACAGGGCACAATAACAATTAAGTACATGCCAGGTCTTCTCCCACCGAACCCGGTGAGAATGCAGAAAGCTCTAGAATCTCAGAGCCAGGAAGAGGCCCAGCTCTTAGTGCCCATGCAGGAAGAACCTAACCCGGGAGGCAAAAGGATGTGCTGGACACGGCACTGCAGCCTGAGCCAGGAGGCTGAGCCCTCTTCTCCTGCAGCACACCGATGGGCCACGTCATTCCCCTCCTCCAGGTCTCAGGGTCCTCATGTGCCACAGAGGATGGATTAGATAATCTCCAAAGACTACCCCATCTCCTTTTTGATACCATTTCTTGGTACAATTTGTTGGTATATGTTTTAGCTACTAAATTTAGTGTGGGTGGGAGAAAAAGAGCATCAGTTCTAAATTTAGGCCCTGGAACAGTAATTATGTATGTCCCAGATTTTCTGCATTAGCTACAAGTTCAAGCATATCTTAAGGCAAGAACAGAAGGACCTCTGGGATGCTGGGATGCGGGGAAGCTCAGAGCACCACCACCACTAAGACAGAGGCCTCCAGTTCTCAGAGGGAAGTGATACCATCTCAGACCTCAGGACAAGTCCTACAGATCACTTCTGGCCCCTGGGCCTCAAAGGAAGGGAAGGAGCCCTGCCAGGGAGAGTGATGGCTGATTTCAGTGTCCTATCTGCAAAGTAGGCCTAACAACAACTATGCACTATTCAGAAAGCATGGCACCAAGCACTGGAATCTCTGTATGTGCCATCTCATCGATGCTCAAAGCTATTTTATGAGCTAGTTACTGCAATCTGTTCCTATTAACACAAGGAAATGTACCTATTAGGACAAGAAAACTGAATCTTCAGTTAAAGTAACTTGCCCCAAATTGCATAGCTCCTAAGTGAAGGAGCCAGGCTCCTGGACCCAGATGGAGCCTAGTTCCTAACACACTGTCTTTCAGGGTCTGATGCACAGTAGCTGCTCAGTAGATGTTAGGAGGCGTAAGGAGGTGGGACATGTTACATGGGAGCTGGGATCCCGGGCTCCCCTTTCCCTGTGCCCTATGGTGGCGACCCCCCTGGCTCCTGGGGCCCAGTTCCCCTCCCGGACCTGCTCTTGCGGGAATGGCTGCAGGAGACACGGAGAGCTGCTGTGGGCTGTGCTCCTGGAAGTCTGTCATCTCCTCCTGGGGGAAGGCCATCTCCTCCATCCTCAGGTACACGACCTCGCCGGGGCTTCTCAGCCCATCGGAGCGGCTGCCTGGGGAGAACAGCACGTGTGTCACCTCTCTGCTTTGGAGAAGACCGGGGCTCCATGAGGACAAGACAGCAGCTCGGGACAGCCATGAGGAGGAAGGCAGGGCTGTCCTCACCTCAAGGCAGCCCCGCCCATCCGCCCGGCTGACTTACATGGCAGGCTGTTCCTGTTTAGGAGGATGGCAGCAGGGTCATCCTTGGGGGTCTGGGGTGTGCCCCGGGTCGTGGGGGCCTTGGTGGAGTCCCCGTCCGTGAAGGCCTCCATGTCGGGGGACTGGGGTGAATTGTCCATGTGGCAGGCGGTGAGTGCATTCTGGTACTGCTGCCGCGTGATCTGGAAGGAAGAGGCAGAGAGGAGCAGCAGCTCAGGAGAAGCTGAGCAGAGCCGTCCCTAGATGTGGCCCAAGCTCAGATGCAGCCCCACCCGGGTGCTTTGGAATGCAGGCCTCCGTGACCGGGGGTCCATGAACTAGGGGCCTTACCCAAGCTGTACTAGGCAAGGGGTTGAAGATTATGAGAGGACCCTTTGTTTGCCATCAGAGTCCCCAATGTCATTTTTATTTGCTCTGGACTCTTTGTTTTTTTGTTTTGTTTTCTTTTAAAAAATTTAAATTCTTGCTGAAACCGGCTTGGCTCAGTGGATAGAGCGTCAGCCTGTGGACTGAAGTATCCCAGGTTCGATTCTGGTCAAGGGCATGTACAATACCTTGGTTGTGGGCACATCCCCAGTATGGGGTGTGCAAGAGGCAGCTGATCAATGATTCTCTCTCATTGATGTTTCTAACTATCTATTCCTCTCTCCTTCTCTCTGTAAAAAATCAATAAAATATATAAAGGAAAAAAAATTAAATTATTTATTGTTTAAAGTAAAGTATTACATATGTCTCCTTTCCCCCCCATTGAGCTCTCCCCAGCCATTCCCATCCCCCAGCACATGCCCTCACCTCCCTACTGTCTGTGTCCATTGGCTATGCTTATATCTTTGTTATTGTTTTTTCTAAAAGATTTTTTTTATTGACTTTTAGAGAGAGAGGAAGGGAGAAGGAAAGAGAGAGAGAGAAACATCGATGTGAGAGTGAAACATCAATCGGCTTCCCCTTACATGCCCCCAACTGGGGATTAAGCCAAGCAACCTAGGCATGTGACCTGACTGGGAATTGAACCGGCAACCTTTCAGTGCATGGGAGAACGCCCAACCAATTGAGTACTGGCTCTGGACTCTTAAAGTGCACCTGGAGGAACTACGTCTTTACCTGAGACCCTGGAGAGGATAGAGGGAGGACATCTTCAGTTAGCAGGGTGGTTGCCTACAGAGAAGTTTAAAAATCAGGCTTATACTATTGCCAAGAGCCCTCTTCCTAAGGGTCAGCCAGTGGGGGCCCGGCAAGAATGAGACCCCCAGCTTGTGTCGAAGGCTGAAGTAAGAAACCTCCATATGAAGAACATGAACTCTGGCAAAGCTGCAGATGAAGCCAATATGTGTATGTGTGTTTTGAAGCCTTCCATAATTATATCCTTCAAGAAATTATTGCCAGAAAGAAGTTCCTTTCTCTAGGTGAATTATATACTTCCTTATATCGGATAGGAACTTAAAGATCCACTGCTCCTGCTTTTTACTTTTATTACCAGGAAGCTCACAGATAAATTTACTATTTACTTTCAGTATCAAACTTATTCCTGATAGTTTTTTTTAACCAAATTGATTTAGAATCTCTTATCAGTTTCTAACTTAAAATATAGTTTAAATGTTTATTTATTGAAATCATATTTTACACACACACACACACACACACACACACACACACATACACATACTATTGGAAGTACTATAAGTATCCTAAAGAGATGGAATTGGAGATTGTTTTCAGACGTTGGGTGGAAGCTCTAGTGCTAATGTTACCCAGAAGGGCTTGCTTTTGCAGGTGGAGGTTGAGATACGAAGACGGAACCTTCCATCTATATAGTGCATAACGGCTTACAGAGCACTTAGGTATGTGCTATCAGCTTTGCTAGTCATAATGACTGTATGGGGCGGGCGCGAGAGGTCTCCTGTGGCCTATATTCGGAGTAAGGAAGTGAGGTCTAGGAAGGTTGAAGCACTTGCTTAAAGTTTGAGAGTTAGCAGGCCTTCAGCGTCCTAGCCAGAAGTTCACCTTTAACCCATGTGATGTTTCCTGTCATTTAATAACGTTCATCCCTCAAAACAGGATCCTGCAATTTAGGGATTCTGCCACCAGATGGTGATGAGGCATCTTGGTTGCAGTCACACAAGCCAGATTACGTCATTAACCAAACATCCTTAGTTTAATAATGACATTTACAAAACATACATAAAAAAAAAAGCATAAAGATTCTTTGATATCTTCATAGCTTATTAGCCACTATTAATCACAGCTTTAATATCTTAATCACTACGCATACTTTCCTATCTAATTTTGTAACATATTATGAAGTCAGTTTACTTCTGGACCTCATAACCAGTTCTGGAACTTCATACTCTGTGGACATGGAAAGCCCTCACAAACTGCCTGCAGCCAGCCATAGCAGCTCCCACCAACACCGCTTTTGTACAAGTTTCTCTCTAGGTTCCTCAAAAACTCTGTTAAAAAAAGGGGGTGGGGGTTGGGGGTTGGCCCTAACTAGTCCATTAAATCAGGAGGGAATTTTTAACTTTAGTCTAAAGTAGGGGTGTCGAACTCAATCAGAGAAGGGGCCAAAATCTAAAATCCAGCCTAAATCGCGGGCCGAATGGTTTACTGAACAGTCATAAACTGTCATTGTGATGGAAACGCAGCGGATTGCAGTGATGACAGCGAGGTGCGGGCCACATTGCAAGGCCTGTTGGGACGGATTTGGCCCGCGGGCCTTGTGTTTGACACATGTGGTCTAAAGCATCATCTTAACTTACATTAAAAAAAAAAACAAATAAAAAACTAAAGAGAAACCAACACCAAAATAAAACAAAAGCTGTGTTAAGTTTGAATTTTCAGATTCCCTTGTATAGAACCACCCATTCCAATCAGAGGTTTTCATTTGCTAACCAGGAAGGGGGCTCTCCCCAGACACCGGGTCTGACCACACCCAGAACGTGGACGCCTTGTCTCCAGAACAGTGAGAAATAAGTGTTTGTTGTTTAAGCTACTCCGCCTATGGTAATTTGTGAGAGCACCCCGAATGAACTAAGACAAATGGAAAGACCTGAGAAACAAACCTAACAAAAATCCCTAGCTCAAAGAGAATCCAAAGGCCGTACTCTGGCCAAAAATGCCAGGTAACATTGCTGCTAGTTCCAGTCTCATCTCACACCAGCTCTGCCTTTGTGCTCAGACCCTTGAATCCCCAGCTCTTTCCTGCTTGCTGTTTGTCTGGAACATTCCCTTTCAGGTCTCAGCAAAAAGGTCCCTTGGCTTGGCCTGCTCTGACAACCATTTCTAAAGCAGCCTTCGCTTACCCCACCCCCAGTACATTTCCTTCATCGTCTAGATTTTATCTATGTGGTTGCCTGCTAATCATCTTTCTCCCCCTAGTAGCAGGGAAGGTACAGAAAGGCAGGAGCTTGCTGTCTTCTTCGCTCCAGTAACTCACCAATCCCTGGACAGAGCCAAGCGCAGTGCAGGCATTCAGTAAATATTTGAACCACTTACTCTGTTGTGACTTCCCATTTCTTTCCCCCCAAGTCACGTGGCCAGTACGCCAAACCATAAGAGCTAGCATATTAGAATCTCTCTTTTCCCATTTTTTTCCTATCTCCACTTCCGAGGGAGGTCTGCAATGAGAGGGCTTCAGGGCTGGGAGCAATGGGGACAAGAGTCACGGGCTCTGGCTTTCGAGGTTTAACCTCAGCGTCACATTATCTTGGGTCATAGGGGAACGGGATGTACATCCTGATCCGCTTCCCCAGCCACCTCTGCAGCCAGGATGGAGGGGACGGTTCCCTGGGGGGGTTACCTTCACAAACTGCACGTCGCTGAGGATGTGGACTGAGTAGTCAGGAGTGTAGAGGTTGTTGCTACTGCACAGCTGGGTGTTGCTGCCCCCAAAGTCACTGCGCTCACGGTTGGGAGACTCGGAGCGGTTCAACCCGCTGCAGCGTGAAGGGGAGCGGTTTACTGCAGAAGATGAGAGAGAGGGGAAGGAGAAAAGGCAAGGAGGGGTGGGAGTGGAGAAAGGAGAGGGGACCAGGAAGAGAGAGAAGAAGAGAGAGAGGTGTTATTGAGGTCCTGCAGGACTTTAAGACAATGGTTACACTGGGTGGTGAAACCAGGCCCTCCCCGCTCCCATCAGAGTCTGGAAAAATGCCCAGCTGCCCCACAGATGTATATTCCTCCGAGGAGCAAACACCCAGGACAGGAACTCATGGCTCCACTCTGCTCAGGCTCCTCCTGCTCCCCAAGACCTCAGCCAGGGTTAAGTGCCATGGAGGACAAAGGGGCTCTGAAAGTAAGCTAATGGGAAGTAACCTCAGGGGCTGATCTGATCATAAATGTCTAATGGGGCAGTCATGCTCCAGGCCTACAAAAAGGCTCAAGCAAGCCCTGTCCGTTGCTCTCGTGCATCGAGGTTTACACACCTTTGAAATGCCAGGGTAACCCTCTTTATCAGACCCCTTTGGGAGGTAACCACTCTCAAGGGGGCACCTACTCTTGTTAGCTATCCTCTGTGCCTTGCTGTCTCCCACCTTCAGGTAACTGACCTTACATTCCCTCCTTAATTCCAAATGTCTGTGAGTAACAGCAAAGCTGCCTTTCTCTGGGGCATTGTGAGATCCTGCTCCCCAGCATGTCGTCAATTTGGCTCAAATAAACCCTCATAAAAATGCCTACCGGTTTGGATGTTCTTACATTGACGGTGCGTACAAGGCCCAACTGTGAGCGTGGTTAGCTACCCCAGCCCACGAGACCTTCTGCTAGAGTGAGTTACTTTATATAAACTCCATTCACAAACCTCATTGTAGAGAGGCCAATATTTGCCCTCAAAGCCATCTGCCACAGCACCGATAACCAGTCCTCACCGCACTGACGCACTGCAGTGGGGAGAACTCAGGTCTGCCCCAACAATGGCTGGGCCCACGCACCATAGGGCATCTATTTAAACCACACTAACGAACTATTAAAATAGGCCCTGTCCTTGTCCTCGACTACCTGGAAGGCCAGGGCCAACTCCTTAGAGTTTTGTGCCAGAAAACAGGGTTGTATGAGGAGGACCAATCCCCAGCCCCCGTTTGGAATGGGGAATTCTGGGGTTTTGGTGTCTGAAACGTGGTCTAGAAGGAAGAACACAAGTTCTGGGTGGGCACATCTCTTTGGCCCTGCAAATTCCTCACCCCACACAGAGGGCCAGGACTTAGGAGGGCCAAAGAGGGGCCCTCTAGTGTGGGGCTAGGTCAGGGCACCCTCTAGGACTAACGGGGGTGAGGAAGGAGTAAGGCCTCTTGAATGTTCAGTCAGGTTTTTTTTCTTTTCTATTTTTAAGAACTGCTTCTTGGGAATATTCAATTAAGAATCTGTTACTTGGTTTCAAAATGAACTATGTGAATTACCCTCCACAGGATTAATATAATATTATATAAGAGAGGCTCTGAAGATGACTAGATTTTTCTTAATCTGGTCATAAGACCCTCCCAACCCTCTGCCTCCCAGATGATGCTACAATGAATGTCTTTAAAAGGAACAGGAACAAGAGCTCTCAGCTTCTCACAGCACAGATTTAGTGCAGGGGTTCAAATGAAGAGTCCAGTCATTCAGAGGGTCTCCTCCTTGTTCTTTCAGGGTAGAACTTCAGGAATTTAACTTAGTCTCTTAAGATAATGTTGCTATCAATCAAAATATCTATTAGCATCTATTTGTGGTCCTGAAGCACTGATGATCTGGTCAGCTGCCAAACTATTATTGTGGTCTGGCAAACTGTGTTTCAAAAAGATTAAACCAATAATGTGTTTCAGAAAAATTAAACCAATAATAAGTTGAGTAATCTTCTCATTGGAACCATAATAATCACTGCCTTGATAGGATTATAGAATTAAGGATTTCCCTTGTCTTTCCCACCTCAGTAAATGTCATTCGCATATACTGTTATTTAAATCAGAAACCTGGGAGTCAACCTGACTCTGGCCACTCCTTCAGCCCCACATCAAGTCCTCCGACATAATAAACCCATTTGCCTCTCTGACTCTACTCAAGTCGGAGTTATCATCACTCTCATCTGGCTCACACTTATAATCTCCCCATTTATAATCTTATCTATAATCAGGTCTCACCTCAGCGGCCAGAAGCATATTTTAAAGACACAAATCATTTTCCTATTGAATCTGAATAAAACCCACACTCTTTGCTGTGATCCTTAAGCCTTACCATGACCCGACCTCTGCTCTTCTTGGGTTTCCCTTCCTTTCCCTTGCATGCTCTGCTCTACTGGCCACCGTGGGGATCCTCAATCATGCAAGCATCTCCCACCTCAGTAGATACTATTTCCTCTGCTCCCCCTTCTCCTCTTTCCCACCTCCTACCCACCAGCCTTCAGCTCCCCAGCCCCGCATTCCCATTCTCACCCCTTCTCCCTACCACTCTCACTTCTCAGTTGTTAGGTCTCAGTTGAAACACTACCTTCTCTGGCTATCCCAAGAAGATTCCTCTATTTCCCTCTATCACTGCCCTCTGTTCAGTCCTTCAAGGCATTTTCACAGGTTTTCATTGACTACTCAATTTACCTAAATTCCATGAGGGCAGTGACATTGTCTTTTCTGGTCATCATTGTACACCCAGTACCTAGCACAGTGCATGGCCTAGAGTAGGTGCTCAATAAAAATGTGTAGAGTGAATGAATCAGCATGTATGAGTCCCTTAAGACATTTTTAAATTTAAAATCTAAATTTTATTTTAGAAAAGGTTTCAGAGATCTCAAATCATCCTGGAATCAGAAAACCTTTCCTCTGCAACTTAAAGTCATTTTGAGAAAAACTAACATCTCTAAGAAGCGAGGAGTGGGCAGCTGAAGAGTGAGATCATGTGCAATGAGAATCAAAGGGCACCGAGAAGCCTCAGGCACTGGCCTGGTAGCTTGAGGAAGAGGCCACAGGAAACATTAGAACTTTGTTTGTTTGTTTGCTTGTCTGCCTAATAAGCTTGTGAACCAGGCTCCTTTGAGTCAGAGCCTCCTCCAGAGTAACCAAGGACTGAGAGGGACAGAATTGTGTCACAGAGAACTGAGCAAAGCATCAAGGTGATTGAAAAGGGCAGTAGAATTGGGAAGAAAAGTATCTATTTCATTTCTGGTCCTGGTCCCTTGAAAACAAACTGATGAGTTCTGGCTTGGCTAGATCCATTCGGATGCTCTAAGGAGGGGGCTGGTTAACTCAGTTGATGGTGCTTTCTTGGGCACATAGTTCTGGCAATGGCAGGGAGTCCTGCAGGAGCGTGGCTTCTTTGGCATGTGAGTGGAATCCAGAAACCATACCTTGACCTGGTGGGTCTTGTCCTCAATTCAGTTTAGAACAAGGGGAGAGGGAGTGAGCAGGGCCTGTGGCTTCAGTTTCACTCCTTGAGAACCCTCTCTTCGCCTGGTTGAACATGTGCTTCACATACCCTACCTCTGCAGTTCCACATTCTCATCTCTTCCATCTCAACTCAAGGTACATTCAAGGAAGACGACAGGGAAACACAGCCCTGCCTTATCTACTAAACAACTTCCATCCATAGAAAGTTCTGCTTGAATCACTTCTACACCTTGTTGGAAACAGAGGCAACAGCTGCTACATTCTGGTTCCCCAAAGCTCTCCTCACTGAACCTGCATGTTGCCACTCACAAGGACATGCATGTCAAACACAAGGAACATCACTGTTCTGCTGGGATGAAAAACTTCTTCTTCCTTTTAAGTAAAAACAATGCTATTGAAGGTTTGGTCATAAAACCCTAAAGGATTCCAAACACAAAAAGTTCCAACCGTCGTACAGCGTTCTGGTCTATAAAAGTAATTTTTAAAAGGAAAAGAAGCCCTCGTTCCATGACAAAGTCTCAGCTCATCGAGTGTTGTGCAAGATCAATGTTTTCATGTCCCAGAGGCTGACATTCCTCAATAGGTGGGATGCGATGACTCGGCATTTCGGTAATTGTGCCCATACACGCAGAGGTTTCTGAGCAAGGGACACGGACATGCTTTCAATAAAAAGAAGAAGAAATCAGTAACAGACGAGTGTCCCAGCAGCATGGCAAACTAGTTCAAGTTGTATAATTCTCCTTGGCATTTCCTAAGAGCACGGAGGCACAGCTTGGGGAAGCAAAGCGAGGAGGGAAATCCTAACTGCAGTGCGAATGGGCCTAAGGGGGAACAGGCCAAACCGTGATGCATAAAACTGACCACAGGACCCCCCAACAGGGGTGAGGCCAAGCAGCCGGCATGTCACTTGTAGACTCTTGCTCATCATGGCCCTGGGAAGATAGGATGTTAGGGGGCCAAGGATTTCTACGTTAGACTTCCAGGTGCCATGGAGAAGTGTGGCAGAACTCATTCTGCAGTCTTTGCCTAGTCAGTCTGCGAGACAGATCTGTCCCACGTGGCAAATTGGAGTTACTGAGGTTGGGTGGAGAAGACAGGGTGGTAAAATTGGGGTGGGTGGAAGAGGATTTGCCACTGCAGTTGGGGCTGCATGGAATAGCCTTTCACCCTTCATTGAAAGCCAGAGCTGGGGAAACCTAAACACAGATCTGCGACTCTTGCTTCACTCGTGACACTTGTATCAGGAGAGTGATCCCAACTCTATCCTGGGAGAAGGACCCAAAATAAGAAGAATCCACACTCCCCTGTCCAGTCTGAGGATCTGAGGGGAAAGGGGGCTTCAGTGGCTGCCTGGTTACATCTTTTGGAGCATTCAACGAGGCACAAGGAGGAACAGTCCACATTGGTCACGGTCACTGTGCCATGTGCCATCTGTGTTCCCCAAACTGCAGGGGGAGTTTAATTGCACAGGCTTATAAGAGTACAAACGAGGGTTATAAAAATGCATCATTCTGGGGTAATAGTCAACATCAGACAACCAAATGTCAAAAGCACTCCGTCAAAGCTATAATGTGAACTCTGCAAATCAGCCCAAGTTAGGAGCCCAGATGAACTTGC